GGACACTCTCTGGACATTACTACTCAAGGAAAAACGACACTACACATGGCACTGTGCAGTCCAGACAGAGGAGTGTGTCTGCTAGAGGGAGGAGGGAACAAAGTCGTTGTGTTACACTATGTTGCACTCTATCAGCCTGTGCTGTTCTGTCTGTACTTTATGATGTGTATAGTGTGTTGCACTGCAATATTATTGCGTACTTCGCTAATATTGCGTGATACTGTTCTATTCAATATAAATACGTTGGCAATACCTGTGCAACGTCATGCCAATAAAGCTGGTCGTGAGCTGGTGACGTTGTGATTATGACGCCAGGCACGGGCATGGGGCCCGGGAAGGCGGCTCTAGAGTGACGTCAGGGAAGGACTACGGAGGGAGGCCGGGAGGGGGTGGGCAATGGGGGCGGGGTACGGGGAGACCCTCCACTCTGTGTGGAAGCGGGTGGCTGCTCATTCCATCTCCACTGCGAAGTTTGCTGTGGAGGCTGTGGCGAGACGCGGGTCACCAACTCCTCACAGACAGGTAAGACTCCGCCGTCCTTCCCCGTTCCCGCAGAGCTGGAGAGAGGACCCCCTCGTTGTTGCTGCTGCAGCGACAGGAGCCGGGCGGTAAAAAGCCGGGCCAGCGTGGAGCAGCAGTTTGTTCTGTGCGGCCAAGCTCATTTCGCCGCGTCCGCGGACACGTATAGTGCGGTGATGCGTTCGGGTGCGCGGCTCTGTACCAGTCGTTCTTGGCGAACGGCTAAAGGCGGGATTTAATAGTTACTTGTTGCGCCAAGGAGCTGTCGATGAGCTTGTGAGCGAGATATACCTGCAGTTTGCCGCATCAAGTGTCTCGCCGCATCATCGCTGCCGGGCGACACCTGGAGTGGGCAATCGGCTTCACGGAGAACGGGAATCCGGGTGAGGCAGCCCAGCTGTCTGAGGGACTCGCCTGCCCTCCAGCGCACAGGACCCCTCAGGTGTTTACACTTTCCTGCTCTGCTGTTGCTGTAAACAGGTCTCACTCCACGATTTATATACGTTAAGGAGTTTCGTACGGAGTACAGTTTTACAGCTTTATTATTATTAAAGCACTTTTCCAAACCCAAAGACGCTGTAGTGAGTGATTAAAGAAAGAAAAAAAAAGTACTATAAGAAGTAAAAGAAAAAATCGGGCATACAGGTTTATCCAGATGGAATGTAGGGCAATCAGACAGAGATCCTGGTAACAAGGAGAGTTTTAAGTTTGGATTTGAAGAGAGTCAAGTGTGTGAATCGTAATATTACGGTAATTCGAGTTACATCACACGTATTGATTAAGTTCATGCTGTCGCTTCGGGATATTTTTTCCTCTGCCTCTTAACCCTACACGCGGGGTTATAGATAACAGTGTAATGAAACGGCCTTCTTGGTGAAAGTGCTCGTATATAAATGCTAAGGCACCTCACGCGAAGGTTAAGTCTGTGTGTCTAGTCTGCTTGCTTCCCCGGGCGACTAGGCTGACAGCCCCCGGCAGGTGAGCCGCAGGTGGGACAGCTCCTGTCTGCGGGAAGGCAGGTCCCGAGCCCCGACACGCGGCTGAGCGGCTCCATTCAGCGCTCTGCGCGCCTGCGAAGTTGGCAGAACCGGTCTGGTTTGCGTCTCGGCGCATTAACCCCGCAGTCGCCCGGGAGCATCGGAAAGCGCCGGACCTCTGAGCGCGGCGAGGTGGATACGACTTCCACGGCTGAAGAGCTAGGTCCGGTTTCGGCACCATTCTCCGCCTGGACGTCTTTGCACAGCTTAGAGGTGGAAAAATGCCTGTTTCCTCTCATACCGCCGATCAGTTGTTCAAGACAAGTCAGTCAAGAATAGGTTCCCATCCACAATGACACCCCGGAGACCCATTTGTGCAGCGGGGCCTTTACTGGAGCAATCTGAGCAAAGTACTTTATTCAAGGGCACAATGGCAGATCCCCATCAGGGACTCAAACCCATGACCCTCCAGGCTGGGGCCCGGGGCCCTAGCCAGCCCGCTGCGCGTAGCGTCGTTGGGCGTGGGGATGGCCATGCGGATGTGTGCCGTCAGAACGCAGCCCAGGGAAGGCAGACAGTTAATCCCTCACCCAGCTTGGATGCCGTGAGAGAAACATCCCTTCTTCCCCTTCCTCCAGCCCCCCCGCCTGTCATTGTGAGCGTGTTATTCACACTTGGTTAAGAAGGCACGGCTCGAGAACACCCTCTCCATTGAGAGTCTCACCCCCCTGCCTCCACCTCACTTTCACTTTCCCACTCCCACCTCCCTCTGTCTTTCACGAAACCCCCATAACATCTTCCCACCACTGTGTCCCCACCCCTCTCTGCCTCCTCTCACCCCTCCTCACTCGATTCCAGTCAGACGGCTTTATCGGCATGACGGGTGAATTTCAGTATCGCCAAAGCATATAATACGCTTATAACATCCTAAGACATTTACATATAAGCATACGGAGCATTACTGGGAGACAGACTCACTGCTCCTCAGGCTGTGACAGGGGATCACATACTGGGCTGCCGGTTCAACTGAGTTCCCTCCTCCCTCTCCCAGTAGGATTGGAAATTGTTCCGATTCTGGCAGGTGTGGGAATCCTGGGATTAGCTGTGTAAATTTGGGGAAGAATGTTTCTCTAATCCCAGTTCATATTTGTCACAGCGCAGTAGGAAGTGCATCTCTGTCTCTATTTCTCCCCGCTGGCAGTGGGAGCACAGCCTGTCCTCTCTCTCTATGGCCAGATTTTGGTCACTGAGCCTGTACTTCGTCAGGGTCTGTTTCTTTTTGGTGTTTCTTATCTTGGTCAAATATTCGTCTAGTGTATTGTCTGTTTAGGGTTTATGTTGTGTTTGTGCGTGTGTCCCAGTGTGTGAGATATTGCCGTGTGATCTGTGCTGGGATGTGCTTGATTCTAGCAGTGCCGTCCTGAGGCTGGCTGGTGTCGGTGTGGCTTGGGCCAGTGAGCTTCAAGACCAGCTGGCTCAGAGGGCTCTTTGCTGGGCTCAGCTCTTGGCTCAGCAGGGCCTTGTGGTAGGAGTTTTGGTCACTGCTTTTCAGGGCAATGGGTTAGATTACACCTTCAAATATTTGGAGCCAGATTCTTGTCAGTGGGTTGATGTTGAAAAGCCTTGTTATTGTGTAGAAAGCCCTGAGTGCCCCATTCTCTTTCTCTTCTGCAATCTGACCCCCTTCTCGTTCTCTCTCTTCTGCTCCGTTGGACCCCCTTCATATTCTCTGTCTTCCTCCGTCTGACCTATCTCCATCTCTTTCACTCTCTCTCAAGGGCAGAACTGATGAATTACTCACCAAACTGCTAAGAATGAACAAAAACACCTGCAACGTTTTACACAAACAAATATTTGAGAGGCTCACTGGTTCTCTGATAGTGACAGGAGATCACATACTGGGCTGCCAATCCGCCAGTCCTCCCTGTCTGGCAGCTCTATAACACAGTGCTGTAGTGCAGGTCCTATGTAGTGCTCTAGATATACTGTATCTACTGTATATAAGACTGTGTGTGCAATACTTTTACATATGCATGGCTACAGACATCTGTAAATGTAGGCCATCCTGCCACAGTGAAGATGCACAGAGTGATGGGACTGTACTCGAACCCTGCACCCTGACCCCTACTCATCAGCCACCTCTCCCCTTCTCTTCTCTGTCTGTACCCTGGCTGTGTCTCTACTCTCCCAAATCCTTTTGGCTCAGCTGAACCCTGTGCCCTGTCTCCGCCATGTGACGAATCAGAAGTCTTAAGAAATCCCACCTCAACGTCGGAATTAAGGAATTTGGTCTTGACTGGTGTGTCGGGCTAGCCTGGAGAGACTCGAGCTGTTTCTTACCCTCTCCAGCTGTGCCCGGTTCTTGGGACAGAGGGGCTGTTAAACAGCCCTTGGTGTTGTGGAGACACCCCTGCCCAGCGCAGGAAAGAGGGTGTTTGCAGTGATCAGCCAGTGAGCCCTGTGTCTGTACCCTGCTGAGCCCGGCCCTCTGTGACACGTCCAGGTTTCTGGGTCAGAAAGCACCCTCCTCAGCTGAACACCCCCACCCCATAATCAGATTTACAGCTTTGTCTGGTAAACCAGTTTTTTTTCCTCTACAGAATATTTAGCTGAACAGAGCAATTCTAAAGAGCTGCTGGCCATAAGTGAACGAGCACACCCAAATCTAGTGCAGTTGCCCATCTTGCCTTCTGATTTCTCAAACCCAGTATGAAGCTCTAACTGTCAGCATGAGTCCCTGTATCAAATGCCCTGTGCAGTGCGCACAAGTTATATCAGCCAATGCCGTGTTTGTGTCTGCTCCGTTTTCTGCTTTGTATCATGCCTATTGTGGCTCATTTCCTTTGTCTCTGCATCAAAGCTGGATAATACTACAGGAATCTGTATTTAACATCACCTAGGGACAGTAGTACTATGTTCTAGGTATGTAAGTCCTTGAGAACTGTTACAATTGTTCCTTTAGTTGTTTTTAAAATTGTTTTTTTTATTATCCTTTGTATGATATGGTTTATTAAACTTAAGGGGTCACTGGGTCCAGGATCAAACATGGATCCTTGACACTGCATGCAAAATCTTAACCATGTTGCTGAAACGCCCAGAAATCCTCCACTTTGTGTATCCACAGTGCTGTCCTGAAGTGTCGATATTACAGCCATTTCTGAATCAAATGGCAAAATCGTATGATGAAAATGGGCTGTTGAGCTGGTCAGAGCTCTGCATTATTCAGTACACCTCAAAAGAGCGATTTGTCTGCATTAGTCTCGGTTTCGGAAAGCCCCTCATGTGTCAGCCCACAGAACATGACAATGCGCTCCATTTTTCTTATGTGTGGCCTGAACCTTGAACCCGAAGGCCCGAACCGCCCAAAGAAAAAATAAACCCGCCAAGCCTAAAGAGCTGTACCCCCACTGCAGGGGGATTTGAGTACCCCTGGGAAGTGTTGTCACCCTAAGAGGCCTGTGATCCTCTTCAAACCCTGTTACACAAAACTCTCTTGCTCAAGAAGCAGCAATGCAGATCTGGTTCCCTGTGCAGTAGTGGAACAGAGTACTGTGTGCAAAAGGTCCTTTGCTGTAATGCCACTGTGGGAGACTGCTGCAATTTGGGATTTTCTGACTTGGAGTGACGGAACGCCAGCCACACGGTCTTCTCCACTGGGACACAGGATGGGCAGATTCTGGCCTGTTGGGAGAGGGGGATCCTCTCTGTCTGCAGAAGGGATCAACACCGCTGGTTTACAGAAGGGGGGAACCCAAAACCAAACCGGAAAACCCGCCGGGAAAAAAAAAAAAAGTAACCAACAACCCTGGAAAAGAAACCCGACCCCAAAAAACCCCAAAAAGGGGGAATAAAAGGGTTCCTTTAAATTGGGGGGGTTTTTTTTTCTTTTTTGGTAGAAACCATGGTTTCCTTGGTAGAAACCTTGGCTAAAAAATCTCAAATGTTCAGGGTTAATAAATAACACTAGAAAAAAACATCCTTCAGTCAGCACGGCGCTGCAGAGGGAGTACCCAGCGCAGGAATCTGCCAGCCCAAGGCAGAATAGGGCCATCACAAATTCCTCAGGACAGGCTCAGCCCTGCCTGGCGTGTCAGGGAGGAAAACCACACACCTGTTTTCACAGAAATAGGGGCGTAGAGCTGTAGCTCGGAGGGAGAGGGAGGCTGGTGTTGTAAAAGCAGAGCAGGAGAGCTGTAGCTGCAGGATAGTGGGCCCCTTGGCGAGGACAGGGAGACAGTGACACTCTAAGGGCTTCTACAGGCAGACAGGCTGTAGGCCTGCGTTCTTGTTGACATCTTTCTTGAGAAACGCCGGGACCGTGTCGGGAGACTCAACAGAGCTGCCGCCCAGCGGGTGATCTCCTGTCACAGCCCGAGGAGCAGCGAGGGAGCCGCTCAGACGATCAGTTTGTGTCATTGTGCTGTATGTTTGTGAATGTTTACTAACAGTTGTTGCTCGGGCGATACTGTCAAACATGGGGCGTGCCAAGCTCTTGAACCTGAATTTCGAAGATCCCAACGGGAGTGAGAATACGTGCTGTGGAAGTGGGGGAGAGCAGGCTTGATCGGTTCTTAGTGTGCCCTGTTGTGGGTGTGTCGATCTGGGGCCCGGGGTGTGAGCTGAATTGCCACTCTGTTGTGTCTCCCTCGGGACACTGCTGCTGGTGCCAGAGCCTCAGCTCACCTTTGAAGGGATCTGAATGGGAGAAGAGAGTTACCAGAGCAGGGTGGGGGGGGTCTGTGAGAGTGGAGTGACTAGGAGGGTGACATCACCCTTTATTCTCCCTGTTGAGGGGGGGCGGGTAAGTGGGTGAGAGGTCACTGGGGGAGGGGAGGAGAGCTGTGATTGGAGGAGAGGAAGCGAGCACAGGTCTCACGGGCTCCAGCTGGGAGAGGGAGAGAGAGATGCAGTTCTCCACTGCGAAAAATACGGTGGGATTAGACACTGTTCTCCCAAATTACAACTCAAATCCCAAAATTCCACACCTGCCAGAACGAGTCTGTCCCACAGTAAGATTTGATGTCTTTAATGAGTACGGAAATGTCCAGTGAGAGGTTTTTGCTCTACACGTGTGTTAATTGTATCTCCTTTGGCAACACTGTAACTCATCGGCCCGGCCAGTGAAGCCCAGTGGACTGGACACTGAAGGAGAGAGCAAGAGAGGGGGAGAGACACAGAAAGATGGGAGAAGCCGAGCTGCTGGAGGAAGGAAGGGGGAAGAGGCAGGGGGTGGCCGGGAGTTCCTTGGCAGCCTGTCAGGTTGTCATGCCACTGGAGGGCACAGTCACAGTGCCGGGCCTGTCTCCCCCTCTCCCCCATTGCCCCCACCCCCTCTCTGGGGTTACTCCAGGACAAGCGTCTCTCAATGCCCTCTGTTCTTACTGCTGGTTTGAAACAGTGTGTGAGATCCATCTCCAGGCTCTCACCGGTTAGACAGGTACTGTATGCCCTCGACTAAGCGTGCGGCAAGGGTGCAATTGATCGCCTGGGTTGAGCTGTCTCGGCGGTATCGGCCGCAGGAACCGGTAAGCTGGTAGACTCCTGTCGTATTGCCTGGGTCCCCATGGGATACACTTCTCACTGTTCCAACGCAAGAGAGGAAGGACGCCCCCCGGCCAGTCTGGCTAGCTTGGTTAGTAAATTGATCTGAGGTTCTCATCCAGCCGTATTGTAAAATAAGCCAGAGTATCGTCTTTCAAGAGCACGGCAGGTTGATTGTTCCACACTCCCGCACCCCTTTGTGTAAAGTGTCTTCTGTTTTAAACGCCCGCACTTTCCACCTGTAGCTTCACGGTGGACTTTGAGGATTTTGAATGCTTGAATCAGGTCCCCCCGTAGTCTTGTCTGCTCATGATGAACATGGTTTTCTATGGGCGGTATTTCCTGGGGGAGCCCAGCACTGACAGGGCAGCAGACTGCTGGACATCACTGGAAAACGCCAGCGGAGGGACGGACAGAGTTCGACATGTCGTGCTGGTCCTCCCTCTCGCACCACCCCGGCTGGGCCTGTCTCACACCCCTCCCTCCCGCTCTCTGTTTACTCCTGTCCCTGGCTCGCTCGCTCTCCTCCATCATTATTCTTCTCCTGCCCCTTCTCTCCCTCCCCCTCCCGCTCAGTACAATGCCCGTGTCTCCAGGGTGGCACTCATTGTGTGGCGGCTGAGCAGCCAGCAGTAACCCCAGCGCCTGTTCCCCCCCGGCCAATCAGAGTCCACCCCCCCCCCGAGACCCACACATCTTCCTGACCTCTCTCAAGCTGAAAACAATCAGATACACTCGCATGCAAAGGTCTGGGCAGGCCTGGTCAAATCGCCTGTTTCACTGAATCTCTAAGCGAAAAGAAGTTAACACAACCTCTGCGGGGTACGAGCTTAAGCGTGACTCACTGCTGCACATCTTCATGCAAAATTTTGTATTTGCTTCATTTAATAAATTGGGGAAAAAAAAGTAAGTCAGTGAATGTGGCATGTGGCAAAGTTTGGGCAGCCACAGATCGCTGCAGTGGACCTGCAGAAAGGTTTAGCTGACAGCGGGGCAGTGGTCCGCAGGCCCACAGTACAGTGTGGCTCCCACAAAAATGATCTGCATGGAAGAGCTGTCAAAAGGGGACCTTTCCTACAACCTCATCAGAAAAGCCAAGGTCTGAAGTATGCAAAACAACACTTGGATAAGCCAGAAACGTTTTGGAATAAAGTGCTGTGGACTAAGCATGGGATGGATTTGTTAGGTTTTTTTGTGGGTTGGTGTGGCAGCCAGTGGCGCAGAAAATATTGTGTGGGTGGAAAGAAGAATGGATTGGACTATACATCAACAAATTCGAGAAGTTGATGTCCCACAGTCACTGAAGAAATTGAAGCTAAAAAGGTTGGATCATTTCAGCAAAACAACAATCCAAAACATACCACAAAATCAACCATGAACCTCTTACTGGACCAAAAGATTAAGGCTGGGGAACGGCCTTCACAGTCCACAGACTGGAATCTGATTGAAAATCTGTGGGGCGATCGGAAATATGCACTGCATGCAAGGAGACCTTAGAATATTTCTGAGCTAGTAGAGGTCTGCAAGGAAGAGTGGGAAAAGATTCCTACCGCAAGAACAGAAAGACTCTTATCTGGGTATAAAGAACATTTAACAGCTGTGATTTCTGCATGGAGGTGTTGCTAGGCACTGACTAATTTTTTGCACATGCCACATTCACTGTGAATCTGTTAAATTCAGCAAATAACATTGTGCATTGAAATGTGCAGCAATACATCATGTTTAGGTTTGTACCCTGCAGAGGGGGTGTTAACGTCTTTTTGCTTAGAAGTTCAGCGAAACATGCAGTTTGACCAGGGGTGCCCAAATATTTGCATGCAACTGTATAAAAAGAGCATCTGCATGACTGACATGATGCCATCACAGAACATGGAAATAGATTTTTTTAACAAAGTTGTTTTTTTTTTTTCATTTAAAAAGGCAGGATGAAACTCTCTCCAAGTACAGCCAGTCTTTTCTATCAGTGGCGCAATACCAGAGAGAGCCTGCTAGGTGGCTCCACTGAGCCCAGTCTGCCGTCGTCAGTTCCGCACTCCTATGAGGAATGTCAAAGCCCAGTCTAGTCTTAAACTTCACAGTTTACAGACGAGGTAGAGGGACCATGGGACCAATTAGTATAACTTAAATCTCGATGCAGAATAGCAGTAGTAACCACAGGTATCAGAACAGTTCTTCCCCCAAGTAAATAGAAATATGAAAGTATGGAAAATTAAGACTCGGGTAGATCACGGCAATATTGTTATGCTCATCTGTTTATCTTATATGTTTTTTTTT